TGAGGATTGAACTGTGGAGTCCTTGGGGTTTTCTGAGCTTGGTTCTTTTCTTGCAAACGTTTCATTACCCGGCTAGGTCACATCTTCAGTGCTAGAATGGAGTGGGGTTTGCTCTCTGTTTATATACTGTGGCTTGCCCTGCCAGTGTTGGTGGGGGTGTTGTTTTTTTCCTGGTAGTTCCTTGATTAGGGTATTATACCCTAATTAATTAATACCCTAATCAATCAATTAATTAATTAATACCCTAATCAAGGAACTACCAGAAAAAAAAAAACCCACCCCCACCAACACTGGCAGGGCAAGCCACAGTATATAAACAGAGAGCAAACCCCACTCCATTCTAGCACTGAAGATGTGACCTAGCCGGGTAATGAAACGTTTGCAAGAAAAGAACCAAGCTCAGAAAACCCCAAGGACTCCACAGTTCAATCCTCAGCTACATATATTCTCTTCTCTTGGTACTATGCCACTAAAGTTTTGTTAGGTAATATGAACATACAGACATATATTCCTGCACATAGGATTGCATGAATATGTCATTCTATAACTGATATTGCATTAAAGCTTGGAATGGAGTACTTTGAACATTCTGCATATATTGAAATTGCTTGACAGCTGGTGGCTAAAAATATAGCATGAATCTGATCTATAGCTGACGACATTTGAAAGGATGACTCTATAGCTGATGGCATTTGAAAAAGGATAAATGACTATGAGAATATGAAATGCTTCTACTAGAGGTTGGTGTTAATATTCCATCATTGACAGCCAAGTACAGTGAACTTGGCCATTCATCGCATTTATTTTACACATCATCATTACATACGTAGAGAGAGAGAGAGATGATATAAGTGAACCTTTAAAGTACTACAAAACTGTATTACACTATGTCTCCTACACGCAAATATGGTAAGACAGGAACTGGCATTACTACAGCCAGTCCATAGTTCTACAACCTAAATGATCTCTAGACAGCCTCAGTAGAAATAATATGTCAATCAGCTAACTCAAGTACAGCCAATTTAAAGTCTATATATTTCTTTGGATCAATTGCTGCATTAAGTGCCCTCACTATTTGTATGGACTCACAGCAACATCTAATTGGATAACTTTGCTGACAGGAAAAAGTATAATGTATCCTTTCAAGTGTACTTGCGTGTGTGTGTGTGTGTGTGTGTGTGTGTGTGCTGTAATTTTGTATCTACTTGGCAGTATGTTAATTCAATATGGTTAATTATCAGTAAAAGTAGATATGACAGTACCGTTACTGTACTGTCTTCCAAAGGGAGGTCTTCCAAAGAGCAGGCACTGCT